AAAAATCAGAAAGCAAGTCAAAGAACACACAGTTTCAACACAGAACTCACACAAGGGAAAGGGGTAGGGATGCACCTTAGTGATGACAATCAAATACACAGATTGTAGTTGCAAATTTAAGTTGAGAACACATATATTTTAGACACAAATAGGATCTCATTAGTGAAATAGAACAAACTGGACTGAGATAAACAAACTAGACAAACACTTCATGAAACATTTAAGGTATTAGAAATACTGGTCATATACAGAACAAGTAGAATTTGGTCATGCTGGGTGAAATCATAAACACATAATGCAACTTGGGACATATTAGTGAACCAATTATTTAAAGCAGGATTGACAATGCTAAACAGTATAATAACTATATCCTTTGACAGAGTAAGCTTAAGTATGCTTTTGTGATACAGTAATCTAGGCATGCTGATTGCATATTAAGTAGAATAGCACATAGAACTGGAAATCACAAACTGATGAACTGCAGCAACAAAGAAAACACACAGTTTCGAATGTGAATTGAATCAAAACATACCAGTTAAGGAGAGAATACAAAGTACAGAGTAGAGATGGTGCAAGTGGCCATCCTTGGCTTACAGCTGGCTGGACTAATAAGAATTGCAAGGAACAGAAGAGAATAGAGGACTTTTGAGAGTGTGAGAGTGTAGATGAACTAGTGTTCGTTGTTTAGAAAAAAAATAAGAGGGGGAGTATATAGTAATCAAAAGCTTAATACGGTAAGAGATCAATTAAGTAGCAAATCAGAGAAGTCACATAGAAATCAGCAAGTCCTTCCCTTAATCAAGGGACAATCAAATCAACGGTAAAAACATGCTAGTATTTAAGGGAAAAATCCAAGTTAGGTTTGGGTATAGAGTAGGTAATTAGGGGTAGATGAACAGAAGTTTCAATTAAGGAAACAAATCAGTAAGAATCAGCAAAACACAAGCAAGGCAAGGGAAAATAATTAAGGCAGGTAATTCAATCAAATTGAGTAAAGAAGTAAGAATCGAAAGCTTAAGGGGAAGTGTTCAAATTAAACCAGGGAATAAGGAATTCAGAATAATCAAGGGTTCAGTCAAAGAGAAAGTCATGAAAGAGTCAACAATTTTAGCATATAAAATAAGGCAAGACATGAATAGTCAAAAATCGACACATAACTTTAACAAAACAAAAAGCTAAATGACACTGATTCAAGGAGAAAGATACAGGTCTTAACATGAATGATCAGGATGAACACAAGTATATAGAATCAGTGAAAGGGTTGAACTAAGAAATTCAGTAGAAGCATATTTGGACAAGAAAATCACGAGAAATCACAAGAACCCAAAGCAAGAACAGAATCAGATGTACTAGTACTCAGAAACCAAACGAAGAACCCCAGAAAATTAGGGCTTTCAGTACAAGCGAGCTAGGGTTGTAGAAGACTTACAAAACCAGTCGAAACATATGAGAATCAGAATATTAAACATAAAAAGTCATCAAACATTTTGTAAAAAGAAATTTCGTAAACCCAAGTTTAGAGAAAAGATGAAAAATCAATTGAAAATCATAAGATTCTTGTAAAAAACCGCAAGGTTGTTGTAAAACTCACATGAAACAAGTCCAAATCATCTCAGATCTGCACAGATCTAAGAGGTTCAGAAAAAGAAATTATGGTTTCGAAGAGAACCATACAGAGGTGAAGAAACATGCTTAGAAAACCCATAGATCGTAGTCAATATAGGACGATCTTACTCGGAATCACATTGGAATGACCTGAAACAGGCGAGAGAGGAACCATAGATTCAAGTCAACTAGCCCTGGTCCCTTGTGGGCCCTGGAGATGGCAAGATTAACGTGAGGGAGGCCATTGGAGGCCTGGAGTGTAGTGAGAGATCATCGTAGATAGCCATGCATGAGGGTTAGTGAGATTTGATTAGGGTTAGGTTTGAGAGCAGAGAGGGGTTTTAGGGTAGCAGATAGTGTAGAATGATAGGGTTTGGGGGGTCTTTTGGATTTATTTTAGGAAGGCTCATTCGTGGCCGTTGATCTTTATGATCAACAACCGAGATTAAAGGGTATTGGGGTCGGGTCGGGTCTTTAGGGTTTGGACTGGATAATTTAATTGGGGATTGGGTTGGTAATTGGGTTAAATTGGGGCTGAAATTGAAAATAAAATAGGCTAGATTTTAAATAGCCATTTTAACACTATATAATTTATAAAAAATAATAAATGATTTCTAAAAAAATACTTTCATGTACTAAAATGGTTTAAAATGATTGTTTAACATTTTAAAAATATAAAAGATTATCTTATGCATCAATAATGTAATTATGCATTAGTAGGGCTATTATTGCAAAGATATGCAATTTAGCCAAAAAATATAAATGCAATTATTAAAAATGCACTAAAAATATTTAAACAATATTTTAGCATAAATAAAGAATTTAGATGATTAAATCACCACAAAAATAATTTGAAGGATAATTATTGGAAATTTTATAAATAAAAAAGAGAAGAAATAAATCAATTTGGATCTTTTAAAAACTATAGAAAAAATTATAAAAATGCTTATGCATGCTTATAACTGCATATGTGCTATTTTGAAAGTATATATATGTATTAAAAATATATGAGGAAAAATTGGGTATCAACATCACGGTGCAGTTTGAGGATAAATTCATTGTCAGGGTCCTAATAGCTGGAGGTTCAAGCCTCAACATTTGCCCATTGACTACTCTAAAAAGATTGGGCAAAGATTTTCACGAGATACTAGCAAAAAGTATGAACTGGAAAGCCTTTGATGGGTCTCAAAGGGCCACAATTGGGGAGAAATATCTCTGTCTGCAGATGGGGCCAACTTGGTTCGATGTTGAATTCTAACTGCTTGACATATCAGCTATATACAATCTTCTGTTGGGTCAACTTTGGATACATGTCGCTAGGGTTGTGGCTTCCACACTACACCAGGCCTTGAAGTTCGAATGGAACCATCAGGAGGTGATCATTCATAGAGATGGAGGTAATCCTATTCACACCAGTCAAACCATCCCGGTTATCGAGAACATGAGAAGGCTAGGAGGGGAAACTTATCACCACATCGAACATGTCAATGCAGTTGAGAAAGACAAATGGTGAAGTAACAAAATAGAAAGCATACTAGCATGGTCTGGGTACGAACCTGGCAAAGGGCTTGGGAAGAATCTCCAGGGCATTACTAAACCAATACAGCTAAAATGTCATGATACAACTTTTGGGCTCGGATATCAGTATACATGGCAAGAATATGATGATTGGTCGCCTCCATGGTGTGGTCCTTATTACCCTCCCGAGCAACCAGTGACACATCTAGGTCAAACTTTTTACCAGGCTGATACAATATGGGAAACCGTAGAAGAAGAAGCTTTAGCTGGACTGAGGATTTTGTTCCTAGAGGACGAGGATATGGATTGCAGTGTGATAATTGAGGAGGAGGAGGAAGAAGGACTCACCATTCAGACTGTGGAGAAATGAGTCGTTCTTAGGAATTGGATTGCCACACCATCTTGGGCCCGCTGAGTCCCTAGGTAGCTTGGCATTTAGCCTAAATTTATTTCTATAGCCATGCTAGGCATTTCAGATGTTTTTAGTAATTTTGTTTTTCAAGACATGTTTTGTTTCAAAAATAATTGCTCGATTCATCGAGCTGTACTTATTTTGGGATATTTTCAATTTTTTATCAATGCATCACTATTATTATTCATTATTATCTTTCACACTTTTCTTCTACAGCATTATTATTACTTTTCTTAATGAACCGATGACTGTGACATGTAATGAGACAACACAACATAAGGATAGTGACTCAGAAGAAGAAGATGAAATACATGAGGAAATTGTTAGAGAGGTTGAGAACTTTGAGAATAAACCTAAGTCCAACCTGGACGAAACCGAAGCAGTAAATTTGGGAGACGCCGAAACCATCAAAGAGACTCGCATAAGCATTCACTTATCAGCGTCAGAGAAGGAAGAGTACACTCATTTCTTGAAGGAATATGAGGATGTCTTTGCATGGTCATATGATGACAAGACCGGTCTGAGTATGTCCATAGTGGCTCACAAGTTGCCTACCAATCCAATGTGCCCACCAGTAAAACAGAAACTCAAAAAGTTCAAACTAGACATGAGCGTGAAAATCAAGGAGGAAGTCACTAAGCAGATCAATGTCAAAGTCCTCAAGGTAGTTGAATACCCAACTTGGCTAGCCAACATTGTACCAGTTTCGAAGAAAGATGGGAAAGTCAGAGTATGTGTTGACTATCGAGACTTAAATAGAGCAAGTCCCAAGGACGACTTTCCACTGCCAAATATACACATCCTGATCGATAATTGCGCCAAGCATGAACTCCAATCCTTTGTAGATTGCTTCGCGGGTTATCACCAGATCTGGATGGATGAAGAAGATGAAGAAAAAATAGCTTTCATTACACCATAAGGAGTGTACTGCTACAAGATGATGTCATTTGGTCTATAGAATACTGGGGCTACTTACATGAGAGCCATGACAACCATCTTCCATGATATGATACACAAGAAAATCACTACAAAACAAGCAGCATTTAGCGACGGAATTTTGCGACAAGAGTTATTCCATAACTAAATAACGACGGATTAGCGACGAAATTTGTATTTTGTCGCCAAATAAGCTAGAAGATAATTCAAACCAAATATAGCAATGGATTCGCGACAAAAACTTATATTCCTCGCTAAAATTGGCGCTAAATATTAGCGCCTTTATTTTACCTACAAAATTAGCGATGAATGCTGGGCGACAAAAATTATTGAAACGTAGCGACGGATTTAACGTCCAATAATCTGTCGCAGAATTTATTTTACTTATCAAGGCATTCGAAAGTTATCTGCGACAAAATATTCCGTTGCTAATTTCCTAAAATGTAATTTCATTAATTATTATTAGCGATAGAATTTCGGTTCGTTTCTATTCCGTCGTTAAATTTCCGTCCCTAAAATTAAATTACCTAGGCAAAAGACCTTCCCAACCATTAGGGCACAAACACCCTAATTTCTCCGCTATTCTTCCTCTTTCTTCTCTTCCTCTTCTTTGAAGGCACAAATGCTGAGACTTCAACACCCCAATTTTTTCAGTCGACAGTCCTCAACAAAGGCCGAGACCTCAGTAGCGTAGGTTTTCAGTCGACGGTTTTCCATTTTTGCAAAGGGGTTTTGTTCTCAGAGGTATGGGCTTGCTTTCTTCTGATATTTGACAAATTAAGTGTCAAATCTTTGACAATTTCGTTACTTTTCTTGTGTTAAAAAAGTGATTTTTTTATACCTATCTGAAAAATAGAAGAAAACCTTTGAAATTGTAATTTTTTGCTGCAGATCTCTGAAATTCGAAGTCGTGTGTTTGTAGAATTCTGAAACTCGAAGTTGTGCATTGATTTTAGGGATTGCATGTCCTTGATAAGGTAAGCTTCTTTGTGATTTTATCTTGTCTTGTGCTTTACTTTGGTGTTTTCTTTTCAAAGTTTCTCCATTTGCCTTTTTGTTCACTGGCATTGATGTTGCTGCAGATATTGCCCTCCCTCCAGATTTCTTTGCTAATTTTATTATATTTTAGGTCAGGTTCGTCTCTTTACTAAATTTAATCGAAAGCTCATTCTCTGAATTTCCCTTAATATATGGATATGATCTGTCTTCCCTTTCTCTGTGATTGAAATGTCTCTTAATCTAAAATCTGATTGGTAACAACGTGTTGTATTGAAAGCCGAATTGTTTTTGTGAAATCTGAAGGAAGCACGTCATTTTTATGTTAGAATTAGTATTTGTCACTTCCTTCAGTTTGCCAAAATCTCGCATGTTTCCTCTGTTCTCCCTATGTAAATGCGAATGAGAATGTGAAGTGGATTTGTTAATATTATTGAGCTGCTGAACTTTTTGAGATATGGTTTTGTTCAATAATCTTGTCCAGAAATTGAACCAAAATTCCTAGTGCAGTTTTGTAGGAAGTGATACTATTACATAAAAAAGAAGAAGTAAATGATCTCTTTCTCATAAAATCATTACAAGTTTCATCACAAATCAATCTTGACATTCATTCAAAAACTTGAAAACACAAACTTGTAAACTTCAAGTTGTTTGGTATCCAAGAACAATCATTTCAGATTTCCAGTGTTTCCAGGAGAAATCAGATGAAAATATATGAGTTCTTGTTCATAAAGTCAATACAAGTTTAATCAAATCAATAATGACATTTATTCAAACACTTTCACTTCTTGCTGAAAGCATTCAATTGCTGTAGTTGGATCCTGAATTGGCAGCAGTTGCTACAGCAGTCATAGCAGCAGCAGCTGCACCTACTTTTATACCTCTTGCAGCTTTAACAAGCTTTAACAATTTCTTGTTTTTTAATATTAAATAGAAACATGGACAATCTAGAGCGTGATTGGATGTACAAAAGGTTGGATGGTCGAGGGGATATTAATTCAAGTTTCACAACTGGTGTGAACAAGTTTCTCCAGTTTGCTTGTTCTCAGCGCAATCACATGAGTGGTGACAATGTTAGATGTCCATGTAAAAAATGTCTCAACATTAAATACATAGATGTTGAAACTGTTAAATTTCACCTTTATCAGTATGGATTTGTTGAGAACTATTTTCTTTGGAAGTATCAAGGAGAAAAAGATGTGACCGGTGAGATGTCTTCTAGTGGTGATTTGCATGGTGGCACTCAACCTGAATCGGGATATGAGAATCCATATCGATAAATGGTCTTGGATGCAGCTGGACCCAATTTTGGCCATGGTTTGAATTGGCAGTCTTATAATAATACTGAACCTGAGTCGTCTCATTCTTATGAACCTTCAATGGAGGCGGAGCCTAATCCTTCAATGGAGGAGGAGCCTAATCCTTCAATGGAGGAGTAGCCAAATCTTGAGTGCCAAAGGTTTTATGATTTGCTATAGGCCGCTGATAAAAAATTATACCTTGGTTCTTCCGTCTCTCAACTCGCAGTGGTTTCCAGGATGCTAAATATTAAAATGGAGAATACTTTATCACAAAGAGGTTATAACCAAATGATGCAATTGTTGAAAGAGGCTTTACCAGAAGATAACACAATGCTTGATAACTATTACGAGACCAAGAAGCTAGTGCTTAGCTTGGGTTTGCTAGTTGAAAAGATTGATTGTTGTAATTCTGGATGTATGTTGTATTGGGATGAAGATGAGGACCTCACATCTTGCAAGTTTCGTGGCCACTAGGGGTACAAACGTCGTGTCAGTTCTCATAAGCGGAAATTAGTCCCTTATAAAAAAATGTATTATTTTCCTTTAATTCCTAGATTGCGGAGATTATATGCATCTTATGCTACAACCGCTTATATGAGATGGCATCATGAGCACATACAAGAGGAGGGCGTAATGCGTCATCCATCAGACTCTGATGCTTGGAAGCATTTCAACGAAAGTCATCCCTTTTTTGCTGTTGAACCAAGAAATGTAAGGTTGGGATTATGTACTGATGGTTTTTAGCCCTTTGGTCATTCAGGAAGGAAATACTCTTCATGGCCAGTGATTGTCACTCCATACAATTTGCCTCCAGGAATGTGTATGAAAGAGGCGTACATGTTCTTAACTATCATTGTTCCAGGGCCAAACAACCCTAAACAAAAAATTGATGTTTATCTACAACCTTTAATAAAGGAATTGACCTTGTTGTGGGAGACGGGTGTAGAAGCATTTGACATCTCAAAAAAAACAAAATTTTCAATTAAGGGCCGCTTTGATGTGGACAATCAATGACTTTTAATCATATTCTATGTTATCTGGATGGAGTACTGCCGGTAACTTGGAATGTCTTTATTGTATGGAGAAAGCACACTCCTTTAGATTACGTCATGGTGGGAAAACAACTTGGTTTGACAGTCATAGAATGTTTCTTGACCAAAATCATACGTTTAGGAGAGATCGTAAAAACTTTCGTAAGGGTCAGACTGTCAGAAGGCTACTACCACCCCTTAGAACAGGAGAGGAAATCTTGAACCAAATTTGTGAGTTGGGACTGAGGAAAGTAACTGACCTAGATGCAGAAGAAGTTAATGGGAGAATTTCTAGGTGTTGTGGATGGAAAAAAAGAAGCATCTTTTGGGATTTGCCCTACTAGAGCTCTAACATGATCCGACATAATCTCGATATCATGCATATTGAGAAAAATGTCTTTGATAATGTATTTAACACAATTCTTAATGTTGATGGCAAAACAAAAGACAATCCAAAGGCACGTGAAGATATGGTAAACTATTGCGATCGACCGCAGTTGGCAAAGAATCCTATTGATGGAAGCTATCCCAAAGCTACATATACAATAGGGAAGAATAAAAAAATTGCCTTGTTCAATTGGTTGGAAAATGTGAAGCTTCCAGATGGGTATGTTTCGAATTTGAGTCTATTCCTAGACACAGACAAGTACAAATTATTTGGTATGAAAAGTCATGATTGACATGTTTTCATGCAACGATTATTGCTTATTGCCTTTCGTGAGCTACTTCCTAGTAATGTGTGGCAAGCACTTACAGAATTGAGCTTATTTTTGTAAGGATCTCACCTCGCCTGTTCTTCGAGTGGTGGACATGGAGAGATTAGAGGGCAGACATCCCACAGATCTTGTGTAAGTTGGAGCATATATTTCCCCCTGGATTCTTAAACTCAATGGAACATGTGCCTGTACACCTTCCATATGAAGCAAGGATTGTTGGACCTATACAATATAGATGGATGTATCCTTTTGAGAGGTTATGAACTTTTTATGCTCTTATTATGACAAGTATACTACCCCATGACTTTATGAATTTAATGATCTATCCATTTGCTTGTATAGGTACCTTCGAACTCTTAAAAAAATAATAGAGAATAAAGCTAGTGTCGAGGGTTCAATTTGTGAAGCATACTTGATGGAATCAACACAATTATTTTCTCATTATTTTGAACCTCATGTCATGACACGTAATCATAATATGGTCCGTAATGATGATGGTGGTGTTATGGAAGATTTTGAAGGAAATTTATCAATATTCACCCATCCAGGCCGACTATGGGGAGAAGGAAAAAAGAGAAGTTTGTCCCTCGAAGAAATCAAGGCAGCCTAAACTTATATTCTACTAAATTGTGTAGAGGTTGAGCCATTTGTAAGGTATCATTTTTTAATAATAATAAATATATCCATATAGTTTGAGTCTGTATATAACTTATTTTTTGCAATAAAGTATGTACATTCAACAGTTGCAAGAAGAATTCCCCAATCTATCTCAGGATCAAATAAATGAGAGTCTCGAAACGTATTTTGCTATATGGTTCAAAGAATATGTAAGACTATAAAAATCATTATCTTTTAAGCAATTATGTCCTTGAATTGGCTTGTTATATTTAACTAAGTCTTATAATTTTTTTGAAATAGGTTCGATGCAACCACATTGAGAACCAATTCTTGCGTAGTCTTGCTCATGGACCATTAATAAGCGCAAAATGTTATTTGGTGAATTTTGTTAACGGATACAAATTTCACATAGAATGTCATGGTAGTGCAAGATCAACAATTAATAGTGTAGTTTGTATCTCGAATCAAAATGTTGGTGACTATTATGGACGGATACAAGAGATTATACAATTGGAATACCGCGAAGAACCTTTAAAGCAAACTGTGTTATTCAAGTGTGAATGGTTTGATCCAACTGTGAATGTTGGTGTCAAGGAACATAAACAATACAAGTTAGTCGATGTGAACCATCGCCGTCGTTTTAGAAAGTACGAACCTTTTATTCTTGCGATGCAAGCAACTCAAGTGTATTATGTGCCTTATCCTAGCACGAAAAATGACAATGATGATTGCGTAGCTGTTTTGAAAGTTAAACTTCGGGATGTTCCAAGTTAAACCTCCTGATGAGGCAATAACATCAACTCCAGAACCGAATCTTCCATTCCAAGTTGAAGAAGTTGAAGTCCATTTGATAGATATGAAGTTCACCACTGATGAGAATATAATCTTACATGATCCAAATGGCAATGTAATTGAAATAGTTGAACCCATTGATGATGGACTATTGATAGAGAATGAAGAGTTTGAAGAAGAATATTCAGAAGACGAGTATGAAATTGAGGATGAAAATGAGGAGGATGATGAGGAAGAGTTTGAAGAAGAAACAAATGATGACTAGTGTGTTGATAAAAATGCACTACTATATTTTTATTGAGTTTTGTTTTTCTAGTAATATGTATGGTATGTTATAAGTCATGTATCTATTTTGTAGTATAATCTATAGAGAATCAAATCGAATACCACGTTTGTAGTAATCTAAATGGTTCAGTACTCTTCTAGCTTACGTTTTGTTGTGCCTCTTTTTACATTAGTCTGACTCTTTTTTTTGTAGCAGTAGAATAATGTTTATTATCAACTTAATAGTGTTACCTGGTTAATCTGTCTAAATTCAGAATTAATTGGAGCCAAGATCGTTGTATTTTGGTCTAAAAAAGTTATCAAATTCAACAATTCAGTGAGTAGTTCAAGCATTGGATAGATCAGGTATCTTTCTGATATTATCTTTAGCAGAACATATTTTTTTTGAAGCTTCATATGCCATATTTTATTTAGATATGCATTGTTTCATATCCTTCTTTTATTTATTTATTTATTTATTTATTTATTTTGTAGATATGCCTCGAGGTAGAGGTCGAGGTAGCGCAGGCCGTGTAGGTAAATCTTCTGTTAGGGGTAATTTTGCTACTCGTGAAAATATGCCTACTGTTCCCATTCCCACAATCAGTCCTCAACAAGGTGGTACGAGTTCCTCAGGTGGACCAGATCACATCAATCAAGTTCAAACATTAGGTCCTAGTAGTATGCCACCTATTAAAACATCAGGCCATAGTAGTACCCCAACTATTAATTTGGAACCATCTCCAAATACCCCTAATAAGAGCAACACAATAGGCGAGGGTACTTCTTCTCAAAGCAACATAATAGGCGAAACTGAGTGTAGCAATACCCGCAGGCCGCAGACGCTTCTTACTATTTCTCCTACAGGGTTAGTCTATACTTATACTATTACTTTTAGTATATTTCATTGATATATGGTATGCCTTTAAACAATGTCTTCTACTTGGTTCAGGTTAGAGCCTTCATTTGAATGCTTTGATTGTATAACTAAGTCTTTTAAGCATGAACTTGATCCTAATGGAATCAACTAGAAAAGCGTCTCAAATGAGATAAAAAAAATTATTTTGGAGAATTCAAGGTATATAATCCATCACAATTATATTAACTTTGATATGTAACTTATTAATGTTATTACTTTACAAAATTATTTCAGAAGGCATTCTACTAGGATTCTTCAATTGATAGTGCGGTGCGGATCCAATGGGAGCATAGGGCAACAAAAAGATATAGTGATTTTGTTAGCAAACTAAAATCAAGTAGGGTGCAACTAGACACTATTCCAAATAATGTGTGGGAAAGTTGGTCGAGACTTTGGAAAGATCCTAAGTGTGTTGAGAAGTCAGAAATAAATGCAAAAAATCGTTGTGGTGTGAGCGGAGTTGCCGCTGGGACTCACATAGGTGGCTCTATCAATGTTGGGGAGCATCGCAAGAGACTTGTAAGTGGATTGTCTCTTGTCCTGTTTTTAATATACTATGCTTGAAATTATTTGGGTGTTTGAAATTATGTCTGCATTTGTTTTTGGTTTGTTGCTGGTATTTTTGTTTCTTTCTTATGGTTTGCTGCTGGTATTTTTGTGTGGGAATTTACTTCATTTATAAGAAAATTTCATGGTTTGATGTGAAGATTATATGAACATGTTTATTTGGAGGGAGTAGTTCTTTTTGATAAGTAAACTTTTATTGACAAAAGGCCACCAGTTCTATATACAATATGTACTCAAGTGAGCACCATACAAGACTGTTAATTTTCAAGAGACTAGTCCAATTACCTATACAGTTGAACATCTTAATCTCCTCCAAATATATACAAAGAAAAAGTAAAAAATTAATCTCTGCCCTATTTTTTTTCTGTTCTTCTGTTCTTCATCTCTAAATGAGATTTGGAAGAAGTGCCTTGCTGTACTGCAATGCATCATACAGTCAAATTAACAGTTGCTACGAATTTAGGAATTTTAATCTGTGGAAGCATAGTTTGATACAATCCTTTCATAAATACTGTTAGAACTATAAATGCCAACTAATTAAATAATAAAGGAAAGAGTAAAAGGAAGCTTAGAATTTGATCTATGAATCCATAACTAATGAATTTAATGTAAAACTTAATAAAGGAACATGAATATTCTCTATGGTTTAGTAGTATCTGGTGATGTAAAAGGTTATTGCCTTAAAGTCTCAGACTCTCAGCTTGTATTCACCCCTACAGATGTTGTAACAATATTATTTGTTTATGCTTGTCATGTCTAACCAAGAGTTTAAGAGAAAGAAAATTGTGTGATGTATTGCACTAATGTAGCTCCCGATCCATCAAATGTGTCTAAAGTACATAATGTGTTATTCAGAAGCATTCCTATTCCAACTTTTACGTTTATGACTATCACTTTATGAATTTATGAAATCCTATGATAGTACATAGTAACTTGTCAGTTCCTCTCTCTACTTATGCCTCCAGTGGAAGATTTGTCTATATCAAGGTCTTATAACTTAAACTGAAACTTATTCTATGTTGTCTGTGATTGTGGAACACATGATCAGTCTTCATACTCATCAGTTACTTATGCCAATGTCTCTATAGAATGGTCTTTATTTGGATTATCTGTTCAGGTTTCAATTCTTGAAAACATGCTAGAGCACATCTCTGTAGCAAGAATATTACCATTCTCGAGAAGGTAGCATAAGCTCTAGTTAATCTTTCTAACTATTCTAGCGTGCAAAAAATCTAAACATAGATGTGCAGATTTTCATTGCTTTTAAGCTTGAAATTGAAACATAATAAGGGAAAAGGAAAATGAAATGGAAGAAGAAGAAGACGACATTTGAGGAATGCTTTGCTATTTGAGGTTCTCATGTGCAAGCATGGCTCGCACATTCGCCTTGATACTTGGGCAACTGCAAAGATGTCCCTTCTTTTGTGTTTTTTGTGAATCTTCAATTTGCGAAACACATGCTCTTAGAAAAGTTGGGACCCTATAAAATTTGAAATACTACTGTTGAAGGATAAATGGGTGTCCATTAGTATTGTCTATCGAAATATTTATGTCGAATCACTGATGTATATAAAAATGGCATATTTAGTCCCGCCCCAGCCCCAAAACACATGCATGAAAGCCTGCAATTGTCTAATTTCCTGAACCATTTCTTTGACAATCAAATTTGTCTTGATTTTCAGGTTTAATGATAAGCTATATCCAGATCAATAGAGTCCAAGTTCTTATGAAATGCAAAACTGCTGGTTTGTTCCAGTTTAGAGATTCTTTCCTTCTTATGAGGTTTTACATCACATAGGCAGACAAACTCCCTTGAATAACTTGCATAAACTTCTGGCTTTCATCTGCATATTAGTGTTCCCTTCTCTGTGCTAAAAAAATTCAGATTTAATTTCTTATACTAGTGAACTTATATGTCGGTTTAGTGACAGAAGTATAGGCACTACAACTTTGATTTAGTCACAAATGACAATGTTTTGTCATCTGTTATGGAAATACTCACCAGAAACTTTGATTAAATATTCCCTTTATTGAGGCTCCCTTTATATAGGCTGTTAAAAAGGGTCGAGATCCAATACCAAGTGAGTTGCATTTGCACGTCCATACTGTTACGCAACGCCTTCCTGATGATCTTTGGAAGGGCAACGTAAGGCTAAGCAACCGATNACACATGGTAATGATGGAAAATCTTTTGTTCCTGAGAAAGCCCGAATCGTACATGTAAGATAGCCTTTTAAATAATTTTATTGACATTACTTTCATATATTTTTTTTTCATTTTGTAGACTAAATGTTCAATATTATTTAGTCTTTTTATTTCACTAATTATTAACTCTTCTACAGGAAAAATATCAGGAGACATTAACAACGAACACAAACTCAATCTGATATTGATCAGTGTAAAGTATATTATCAAGCCACGAGAGGAGAAAAGAAAAGAAGAGTATATGGTCTTGGATCTCAAGCAAAATGCTACTACGGGCCAAATCTTGATGGCTCTTTTGGATCTGATGCTACATCGTCAGCAACACCTCCAAATGCTCAATCAACATCGATAGGGAATCTGGATGAGTTAGTGATGCGATTGATTCCTGCGCTGACAGATCATATAGTTCCTGTAATCGTTGACAGGGTACACGAATTAGTTTTCTTACCCTCGCATCACCCAAATACTGATCTTACCCACCGCCCATTAGGTGTGACACCTACAGTTCCTATATCTTCTACTGCTGCTAACATTGATGAGGTTCATGCATTGAGTTCTGATGATGACCGTAACTCTCCAGCCTCGCATCTTCTACATCTTTATTGTTGGTCCTTGTGGATTTTTTGAACTTAACAATACTGTTATATGCATTATGCTATATTTTGGACCTTGTTGAATATATTGTTAATTTATATCAATATTAGTGACTTTTTATTAAGTGTATTTAATAGCTTTTATGTAATATGATAGAACATGGTACATTTAAAAATAATAAATAAAAAGAATTCTAAAAATCAGCAATATATTAAAAATTAATTAGCGATGGATACTTTTTGTAGCTAAATTATCGCGTAAAATTAAATCTTGCGATGAATTGACGACAAAAGATTTTGTTGCAAAAGGCAGGGAGAATTAGCTATAACGTCTAGCGACAGACATTTTCGTCGCTATAAGCACAAACGACAAATTTTACTATGTATTGCAGCAATGAAAGGTTCAAAATAGCGATAGAAACAAGCAAATATAGTGACGGTTATTTCCCTCGCTAACCTTTTCTACAGATATATTTCGTCGCTAATCCATCGCTAATTTTGCGACGGTTTGGTATTTCCTGTCGCTATAAGCCTAGCTACGAGCATTTTAGGGACCAACTTGAATCCGTCGCTAAAAAACTGTAGCAACGGAAAACATTGATTTAGCGACGGAAAACGGCCTTCGCTAAACGCTATTTTTTTTGTAGTGAATAGAGGTGTATGTTGATGACGTTATCATCAAATCCAAGAGGGCCGTAGATTATATAGAAGACCTGAGAAAGTTCTTTGACAGGTTAAGGAGGTACAATTTTGAAACTGAACCCCGCAAAATGTGTATTCGGGGTTCCCGCAGGAAAGTTGGGATTCATTGTCAGCCGCCGGGGCATCGAGTTGGACCCGTCCAAAGTTAAGGTTATTCAAGAGTTATCGCCACCAAAGAGCAAAAAAGGACGTGATGAGTTTTCTAGGGCGTCTCAACTACATTAGTCACTTCATAACATAGTCCACAATTATATGTGAACCTATCTTCAAAATGTTGAGGAAAGGTGCTAGAACGAGTTGGACCAAAGATTGCCAGAAAGCTTTCGACAAAATCAAGGAGTACATGTCCACACCACCAGTCCTAGTCCTGCCAGAACCTGGGAGACATTTGCTGCTCTACCTATCTGTATTAGATGAAGCTTTCGGATGTGTTTTGGGACAACATGACAATACAGAGAGAAAGGAGCAAGCCATATACTACTTGAGTAAGAAGTTCACACCTTACGAAGCACAATACTCCCTGTTAGAACGCACTTGATATGCTTTGAGCTGGACGACTCAGAAATTGAGGCATTACTTCTGTGCCTATACCATGTACCTCATATCCAGGATGGACCCTCTGAAGTACATCTTTCAGAAGCCCATGCCGACCGGGAAGTTAGCCAAGTGGCAGATACTATTAAGTGAGTTCGATATTGTCTATATAACTCAGAAGGCGGTCAAAGGACAAGCATTGACAGACCATCTTGCTGAAAATCCTGTGGGAGGGGAATACGAACCTTTGAAAACGTATTTTCCTGATGAAGAAGTTTCATTCATAGGAGAGAACTAAAGCTTACGACGGTTGGAGGATGTTCTTCGATGGGGCTGCAAACTTCAAAGGAGTGGGCATTGGAGCGATTTTGGTACCAAAAATAGGTCATCACTACCCTGTATCTGCAAAGCTTAGGTTTCCATGCACCAACAACATGGCAGAATATGAGGCTTGCATCATGAGCTCAATCTGGCCAACGATATAAATAGACAAGAGTTACTGGTAATCGGTGATTCAGATCTTCTGGTACATCAGGTTTAAGGAGAATGGGCTACGAAAAACACCAAGATACTACCATACTTGTATCACGTACAAGAATTGATGAAAAGATTCACAAAGATAAAATTCAAACATGTGCTCAGAATTCAAAATGAGTTCGTAGATGCACTGGCCACTTTGTCATCAATGATACAACATCCAGGCAAGAATTTCATTGATCCCGTCCCGGGTGAGGATACACAATCAACCGGCTTACTGTGCTCATGTTGAAGAGGAAATAGATGGAAAACCTTGGTTCCATGACATCAAAGAATATGTGGCAAGAGGTGAATATCTGGAGCAGGCAAACTATACTCGGAAGTGCACACTACGAAGGCTGTCTAATCACTTCTTCCAAAGTGAAGGGACCCTATATAGAAGAACTCTTGATCTAGGGTTGTTGAGGTGTGTTGACGCAAAAGAAGCTTCCAGATTGTTCGAAGAAATACATGCCAGAACTTGTGGACCACATATGAATGGTTTTGTTCTAGCCAAGAAAATACTCAGAGCTGGATATTTTTGGATGACCATGGAAATGGAATGCATCCGATACGTACAGAAATGCCACCAATGTCAGGTACATGCAGACATGATAAAGGTACCACCTAATGAGCTTAATGCAACAAGTGCACCCTGGTCTTTTTCTTCTTGGGGAATGGATGTCATCATTCCGATCGAGCCCACTGCTTCAAACGGGCACATGTTCATTTTAGTGGCCATTGACTACTTCACAAAATGGGTAAAGGATGCATCCTATAAAGCTGTAACCAAGAAATTCGTTGCAGACATTGTCAAGGATCGTATTGTTTATCGATTAGGAGTTCTTAAGTCTATTATCACTGATAGTGCCGCTAATCTCAATAGCGACCTGATGAAAGCCATGTGTGAAACCTTCAAAATCAAGCGCAAAAACTCTACATCATATAGACCTCAAATGAATAGAGTTGTGGAAGCCGCTAACAAGAATATCAAAAAGATACTAAGGAAGATAGTAGAAACCACAAACAATGGCACGAGAAGTTACCTTTTTCCCTATTGGGGTATCACACTACAGTCCGTACATCAACTAGGGCAACTCCCTATTTACTGGTTTATGGTACCAAAGCTGTCATTCCAACCGAGGTAGAATGCCTTTCTTTAAGAATCATGCAGGAAGCCGAACGCAGTGATGCAGAATGGATAAGGAGCCTCTATGAGCAATTGGCCCTTATAGATGGAAAAAGAATGAATGCAGTATGTCACAGTCAGCTTTATCATAACAGAATGTCCAGAGATTTCAACAAAAGGGTCAGACCAATACAATTTGCACTGGGGCAGCTGGTGCTGAAGAAGATCTTCCCTCATCAAGATGAAGCCAAAGGGAAATTCTCTCCCAACTGACAAGGACCTTACATGGTTCACCAGATGCTGATAGAAGGAGCACTCATACTTATAGAAATGGACGGAGAAGTCTTGCCAATACCAATCAATTCAGATGTAGTCAAAAGATACTATGTTTAGATTGTTTACATTTCTTCATCTAGTGTAACTGAACTACGTTTGACCTGATTCCCGTTGAAGAGGGGATACGTAGGTAGCCCTGTGGGTTTGGTCATATAATAATAAAATTTTCATCTTCCCCCAGAACTAGAAACTGGGGCAGAATTTTGAGGAGGACCTTCAAATTCCGGAGCAAGTCCAGCCAACACCATCATATGCCAGAAAGTTAGAAATTGGTTAAGAAAATGGGGCAGAATTTTGAGAAGGATTCTCAAAATTCTGGATAAGGTTCAACAAGTTTCGTCGTACGCAAACGGACGAAGGATCATTTACCAAACTTGGGCAGAATTTTGAGGAGGACCCTCAAAATTCTAATACAAGAAAGTTGAAATGTCTATGAAATGTGTTACAATCACTAGTTCATCTAAAGTTACTTGGTATTTCACTATGTTTTCTAAAATAACTCTACTTTCATCAATAAGTGCATATTTTTGAAAACTCTATTCTGTGACAGCCAGGTATTACCCAGGGCAACCCAAACAAGGCCTCCAAAATAGAGCGGAGCAAAGCCAGCAGACGAAGGCACGAACCAACCTCCCCTTACAAAACTCACAATTTTTCTTGGGATGCAGGCATGGTGAACATAACAGAAGTATTCGCAAACATACATATATCAAAGTCACTATCAATCAAGCAGCCAAACAGAAATATATCCAGCTAAGAAATACTCTACTCCTATTTGTTACTTGTTCACTGCATAAGGCTAAGCATTTTCTTCTCTTTGCATGAGACTAAGCCCTGTCTCAAATCTTGCATGAGGCTAAGCCCTACCTCCACATTTGCATAAGGATAAGCATTACCTTCTCTTTGCATAAGACTAAGCCCTATCTCGAATCTTGCATGAGGCTAAGTCCTGCCTCCATACCTGCATAAGGCTAATAATTGCCTTCTCTGCAAGAGACTAAGCATTGCCTTCTTTGTATGAGACTAAGCCCTGTCTCCAATCTTGCAGGAGGGTAAGCCCTGCCTCTATATCTGCATAAGGCTAAGCATTACCTTCTTTTTGCATGCGGCTAAGCCTGTCTCTCATCTGTATGAGACTAAGCCCTGCCTCCACATATGCATAAGGCTAAGCATCGCCTTCTCCTTGTATGAGACTAAGCCCTGTCTCAAATCTTGCATGAGGCTAAGCCCTACCTCCATATTTGCACAAGGCTAAGCCATGCCTCCATATTTGCACAAGGCTAAGCCATGCCTCCATATTTGCATAAGGCTAAGCATTGCCTTCTCTTTGCACGAGACTAAGCTCTGTCTCAAAACTTGCATGAGGCTAAGCCATGCCTCCATAATTGCATAAGGCTAAGCATTGCCTTCTCCTTGCGTGGGACTAAGCTCTGTTTCAAATCTTGCATGAGGCTAAGCCTTGCCTCCATATTTGCATAAGGCTAAGCGTTGCCCTCTCTTTGCATGAGACTAAGCTCTATCTCAACTCTTGCATGAGGCTAAACCTTGCCTCCATATTTGCATAAGGCTAAGCGTTGCCCTCTCTTTGCATGAGACTAAGCTCTATCTCAACTCTTGCATGAGGCTAAACCTTGCCTCCATATTTATATGAGGCTAAGCACTGCCTTCTCATGGGACTAAGCATTGTCTCTTCCTACATAAATGTTGCTCTATTCTTGGCACTGTCTTCTTCTCCCGGGCTAAGCTCCGCCCACAAACTCCACGCAAGACTAAGCTTTGTCTTGCTATCACTTTCAGTATCATATCTCTGCACATCATGGGCTTACGTATAGCTAACCTGTCTGGAGGCGTCATAGTCCGAAGACATCATCCTCATAGCCTGAAGACACCCTGTCATGGCCTGAGGAT